AACGGACAGGAACCCAAACAATGCCTCTTGCTCCAGCTGCTTCCTGTGAGGGGAGAACTGGGGCAGGGGAAGGAGAGGGATCCTGCGGAGAAGTTTCCTGATTTAAAGTTGTTCAGACCGGTCTGGGGAGGAGATCTAGGGAGGCTGGGGTAAAGCCTTGGGACCCTCAGGATAGAGGTTGGGGCTGAGCTCTCAGAGCTTATCTCAGGCACAGACCGGGGAGGAGGGTTGGGAGCTGCAGGTGGAGGAGGCCTCCTTAAGAAGGAGGGAGGGAGGAGGGGACGTGAAGTGGAGGTTGTGGAGCTGGAGGATTCCGAAAGGTGGATGTGGAGCTGCTGCAAGGGGATTGGGAGCTATAGGGTGTGGGCTGTGGTCAGAAGGGTCCAAGGAAGAAGAAAAGTCTGAACAGGGATCAGGAGGCATTTTATTAGGAGGATGGGGCTCAGAGTGGGCTAAGAGTATTTGAGAAGTAGAACAAGATTCACAGAGAGAGCGGAGAGTGAAGAAAACCTGAACATAGGGATTTCTAACCACTTTCCCTTGAGGCAGTGGCTGAAGTTAGCAAGGTTTCATAGAGCATTATAATGGAGAGTTCTGTTTTCTGGCCATTGGGAGCTTTTATCAAGTCTTTATTTCAGCCAGACAGTGTTAGAATAGTAAATAAGTCTTTTTGGTCTTATCTCCCCTTGGAAGCCCAAGGCTTTTAGGTTTCAGAGAAGGCATCTTAGAGGAGTAGATTTTGAGGGCTGAAGTTGAGAATTTCCCATTGTGGCCAAATAGGGAGGTTAGACAGGGTGAAAAAAAGTGAGGAGAAAAGTCCTAGAGAAAAGGCGTCCCCGTTCTCAGGACTTTTTCAGAGAGTAATAATAGTCTGCTTAGAAATGGGTGCCCCCTATTCCAAAGTCAGATGGGGCACAAGCCCAAGGNAACTAAGACCATGGTATCCGGTCCCATCACTTCATGGAAAATAGATGGGAATAACAATGGAATCAGTGTCAGACTTTATTTTTGGGGGCTCCAAAATCACTGCAGATGGTGACTGTAGCCATGAAATTAAAAGATGCTTGCTCCTTGGAAGAAAAGCTATGACCAACCTAGACAGCATATTAAAAAGCAGAGACATTACTTTGTCAACAAAGGTCCATCTAATCAAAGCTATGGTTTTTCCAGTAGTCATGTATGGATGTGAGAGTTGGACTATAAAGAAAGCTGAGTGCCAAAGAATTGATGCTTTTGAGCTATGGTGTTGGAGAAGACTATTGAGTCTTGAGTCCCTCGGACTGCAAGGATATCAAACCAGTCCATCCTAAAGGAAGTCAGTCCTGAATATTCATTGCAAGGATTGATGCTGAAGCTGAAGCTCCAATACTTTGGCCACCTGATGTGAAGAACTGACTCATTGGAAAAGACCCTGATGCTGGGAAAGACTGAAGGTGAGAGGAGAAGGGGCCAACAGAAGATGAGATTGGTTGGATGGCATCACCGACTCAATGGACATGAGTTTGAATAAACTCCGGGAGTTGGTGATGGACAGGGAGGCCTGGTGTGCTGCATTCCATGGGGTCACAAAGAGTTGGACACGACTGAACAACTGAACTGAATTGACGTTTTTGTGCCCTAAATACTTATTTTTTATCTTATGCTACCACCCTAATATATTGAATTGCTCTCACAACTCAATGTTGGGTTTTGACCACAAATGTGATCACTGAATTATTTGATCATTTTATTATTTAATAGTCTCCTCTTATTTCTTTGGTTCCCAAAGTAAATTATTAATAGAATTTTCTTGAAGACAGATTTTACCATGTTACATCCCCTCATTGTCAAACCGTAATATATGTTGAGAATCTAATAAAATTTAACTTTACCTCTGAAAATTCATAATCTGGATTAAATAGAAGAGTTCATGATATGATTCACAGAGCAGATAATAGTAAGGGATAGGAGATACAGGAGCACAGGGGGACCAAAGCTACTTGTAGTTTTAGCTGTTAACATTTAACTGAGAACAATCATTCCTGTCTATTTTATTTTGCTTCTTTTCCATTATCAGATTGGCTTAATTACATGTTCAAATACCTAGTCTTCTCTTTTGTTTTGTAACATGAACCTCTGTCCAGATGTGTGTAGTTTGAACTCAAGAAAATAAGTTATGCAAACCACACATGGGATTAAGAAGCACACATTTTTTCTATTACCTTTTAGCTATTAAAGAACATAAATTTCTATGATTCATTCAGATTCTTTTTACATTATAGAAAATTCTATACCTTAGTTCATGTTTTCAACTTGGGCAATGATACCCATGTGATTTTTTTTTTTAATGTTTCCATTGAATTTAAATATGAAAGAGCTTGCTTCTAAAATTTCAGATAATTTTTTTTTTCTTTTATTGCTTGAAGGCACTCATATCCTACATATAACTTTGTTTTAATCCTTGTGGACTTTTGTATTACTACAACTTAAAAAATTAAAAAGAAAATATAACATTAGGTGGAAAAATACATGTATAAAATATTCATTATGGCTATCATGAGACTCATATGGAACTAAATGCCTACTTTCAAAACTATAAATATAGTGAAATCCTTTAAACCTAGCATATGTTGCTTCAAATGAGACTCGGTTTTGAACAGATGTCCCCTTAGACCTGTTATATTAAGACTAAAATTACTAAATCAGTATTAGATGTTTTTAAACTTAGGGCCACATTTTGCCACTGATTTTTATTCAAAGCTCCCACAGGCGTAAGTGGAAGACCCATGCATGGAAAAATGGCATAATATGTATCCTAGTTTTATTTATTTCATATGTATACAGCAGTATAAAATAATATATTACATTTACACTCATTTTACTTATGTATTATTATAGCATTCACAGTAACAAACACTATAGTTAAGATTTAAACTCATCTTTTGTTATAATACCCTGTTTTCACTCACAGATAACTGTCTCAAAAATGTGTTTAGAGCTGAAATTCCCTGCTTACTTTCAGCTCAAGCATGTATGAATGTATTGGAAGTCTGAGTTCTGTCACTCAGAAATTTTTGAGTCTCATGTGAAAATTTAATTTTTTTTGCATTATTAATGCATTATTTTCATGCAACTCAAAAACATCTCGAGTGTAAAACTTCAAACTAAGCATGTGACAAGTTTTCAAGAAATAAAAGCCGTTTTTCTAATTTTACAAATACTTAAAAATAGCAGTGGTTAGAAATACATGCATGCACACTAAAGGTATTAGAATTTTAGTCATATTATTGCCTGCAATACTCTGGCGGCACCCAGCAACCCACAGACTTCCCTGGTAGCTCAGTGGTATAGAACCCGCCTGAAAATGCAGGAGACTTAGGTTCAATCCCTGGGTCAGGAAGATCCCCTGGAGAAGGAAATGGCAACCCACCCCAGTATTCTTGCCTGGGAAATCCCACAGACCGAGGAGCCTAGCAGGCTACAGTCCCTGGGGTCGCAAAGAGTTGGACACAACTTAGCGACTAAACAACAAACAACAACAACCACCCATTCTCATAGAACGCTATAATCTAAAACCTATGCCAAGTTTTAGAAGAAAAAAAAAAAACCTAACAGTAGTTTCACAAATTACTGTCTTAGGGTCTTGTTGTTTTGTTTGAGGGATATTCCTTGAAATGCTAACAATATATAAAGTAATTTTACTACTCCATGGCATAAAAAATATGGAATTTTGTAATTTTCTGTTTTTCCTTGTTAAAAAGGATGTTTAAGTGCAAAGCCTTTACCACTACAAAATTTGAGTTGAAAAAGATAACCTAAGAAATTGCAATATGAAAAATAAAATATTTTCAGAAAAATTATCAAGTATATCAATGTTTTCAGTATTTTTGAATTCCTTGGATATTAAACACACACAGAAATATAAAGGGGAGGAAAAAAAAACCGCATGCAATGACAAATAACTATCAGTCAGTGACATGAATTATTTTCTTTATCTTGCTGAACACTTGCAACATTCTGACTGAATAATTATATTAAAGATGAACTTTACTCCAGTAAATAACTTCTGGAAGTTAAATGGTACAATTAATGCACAGCTATTGAAGTTTATGTCACAAACTGTAAGGATTTTCTTTCTTCCTCTTACTGGCGATGCAGGAGGGTTTCTACATTACAAAAGATCTGACAGCAAATTATAACACTATTAAGAAATGAAACAGGAGAAAAAATAATTAAAATATTTAAATCTACTGTAGCACTTAATTTGCAATGTTTGATAAAGGCATTGCATTTAATATCTTCATAAAATAAATATACATATTTCCTTAGTATTTACTAAGATAGATGATATGCTTGTAATGATATAAACACCTTATATCTGTAAGGTAATTGTGATGCAATATTTAAATATCTGATTTAAAATGATTTCATGAAATTAAGTTCACAAGTTAAAAATTGGAATTTTACATACAGATGAAATATTTCTAAAAATTGTCATTTGACATACCTTTGAAACATCAAGACACTGTTTCCACAGGAAAATATTAACTTTTTACTACTCTAAAAGTAACCATGTTAACAAGGAGTAAATGTCATGATTATTCTTTTCTGAAATAATTCATTGATGGAATATTGTCTAATGATTTGGATATTGTTTTGCATTGATGTGTATAAAATTATGGAAGATTGGATATAAGGATAACTAGATTAAGTAGAAAACTTATTCTAAATTTTCTTTTCATACAAATCTAGTAAATGATCATTTGGAAAACTTCATTATTGGTTGGTTGAATCTTTCCATCTTAAAATCCCCCTCACTGGTAGCTAATATTTTGGCCAATTTAATAAAGTCGTATGCTTACTGTGTTGTAACTTCTGATTTATCCTGGTTGGAATGAATAGATTAATAACTAATCACTTACTATTTCATGTTTAAATCATTCTAGTTGTATCACAGATTAGGCAAAAAAATTGTTATTTTTGAAGATCATAAAATTTAAGAACTAAAATGCAAATTAGTATGTGTTTGCTACAATATATTATAAAAATAGACAAATATATGATATGAGAAGTTGATTCAAGGGGGATTATATTCAATGATACGAAAGAATAAACAATTAAATAATTTTTTGGTCAGATGAATTAGTATAGCTCTTAGAGTATAATTTATTTTCAATGCATGTAATAAATCTGATGGATGTGGGTTTCCCCCCATATTTGTAAAATTGTGAATGAAATGTTTTAATTAAAGCAGAGTGATTCAACAAGAAAATAATTTTCTTGTTTAAAAAGCAATTACAATGAACAGACTTTTTTTCCAGTTAAATTATTTAAAAACACATAGTTTCTTACTAAAACAGTCTATCATCTAAAATATTAACGTAGTAAAGCAAAAGTTGTGAGAAAATTTTACTGCTGCCTCTAGTGAATGTGTGTGCCCTTTGTGTCATATGTGATGGATTAGCTTCAAATATTTTTAAAAGGTCCCCAAAAGCTACAGATTATTTTGTTACATAAATTGGTTGGGATTGTGACATACTAATATCTATTTTGATAAGACAAATAAGTGATACCAAGATATCACTCAAATATACACAGCAATGACCTAGGAATATATATGCATATTTATATGCATTTTATTGTTAAATCTAGGAAAATATTCCCATTCAAATGACATAAAATTAGGTGGAAGACATTTGTTATGTATCAAGTTTACTCTGTTCTTTAATAACAGTCTGGCTCAAACTATCGTAGAACATGCAATCTGTTAAAATTAAGGAAAATATTTCAAAATCAGTCTGCAATTTGGGTTGGGAAAGTACTTAGATATAGTGTTGAAGGAGTTTTTTAGAGAGGAACTGTGACAAAGCTGGTTTTTGCTTAGAAGATTATCTCACATCTTCTGATTTTCCCTTTCTTATTTGTACTTTAACAAGCAATAAACAGCAGTATAATAAAAGGGATATATGTAAAAGAGGAAAATGCAGATTACTGAATTTAATAATCAATTTGTTGACATAAAAGGAAAACTTCACTTTTCAAGGCTGACTCATGAAGAATTTTCTCTTTAATAAAATAATGACTATATTTAAACTATAATTCTCACACATAAGATAATACTGAAGCAGTAATGTACCATGTTTCTATCTCCAAATTTATTTGTTTTAAATTTAGAGATCCTTTATATCTTATAGTTATTCTTTACCAGTTTAGGTATTTATGTATCTCTATATATTCATATAGAGTTATAGATTTTATATGTGTAGCATGTGTTATTAGAAGTCATGAAACTATGCAAAACTATGTAAAATAAAATTCTGTATGAGTTGTATGATTGAGGACTTCATTTAAAATAGTAATTTTCAGCTATATATTTTACACCACAAAATGTACAGACACCAGTGCTTTTTTTTTTTGCTAACAACAAATACAGGTAAAGGTATAGATTCTTTATAAAAGCTTTAAATGATTCTAAATTCAAAGCCATAGAAGTAGAATTGAGATTATGTAGATTGTTAGATATTTTGAGAGGACGTGTTCAGTGCTCTGTTGATAACATCGACAGCTATATCTTTGGCATTGAAAATTCAGTACAAGTTCTTGACAAAATTTTGTAGCTTGGAGCTTCATTTTTTTAAACAAGGAAAAACAGGGTTGAAAAAGATATGAAAACTGGGAGGAAACTATAAATGATTTTCTTTTCCTTCATATGCTTATCTTTGGGACCCTGAATTACCTTTTATTTTATTATATGATGCGGATTGTATGAATCCATTTAAAAACCAACTGAGTTGTACCACATTTTAGGAAAGTTATATAATATAATATATATATTTTATATTTATTTAGAAGCTTTGAAATAGTACAGTAAACACTTTGCAACACGGTGTATAAACTACAGAATGTCTTTGATATTTTGTGGGTCTTCAGAATACATTTTTTATAACCCACAGGTGAAAAGAACATAATCACAATCTCTTGTAAAGTTGGAATAGTTTGGGGAACACTTGATCACACAAAAATAATATAAAACAGTCAAGTTTAAAACAGTGATATTGCATTTATAATGCACAAATTTCCTTTATCTTTATGACTGGCTTCTTGTGGTGAATATAAACATCTAAAGGGCTCAGTGACATTTGGAGAGAGAAAGATATATAGTGCTGTAAACAGGCACACACTGATCGGAGAGGCAAAATCAGTTGCCTAAAGTTTCTACAGTTCTGCACATTTCAACTCATTTCTCAGGCCTGCTGAGAGCAATTAGGTCCTATAATTGGCCATGATACTCTGCCGGCAATCTAATACTCAGTCACACACAACTAACTGGATGGCCAAGATAAATGAAGTTGAAAAGTTGATGCTTTTGTTGGTCGACTTTGTGCAAATCATGCTGCTTCAGGTAAGTCCTGTAGAATTGACTAGCATATCCTTTTCCGTGCTGTGAAAAAGAAAAGAAAAATACTCTAAGAAAAACAGCCTGACTTTTGGTGGCTAGAATTGCACATTATTGTAAAAGAAACAAATACGGTAAGAAACAAGTTGTATCCCTGTAAAAGACCCCTGTGATGGCAAAATATTTCCATGTCCCTTTGGCTTCTAATAATCATAGTCATTCTGCTGTTTGACTTTCTGAAAATGACAATTTTGACATTTATACAAATTGGTTTTGCAAGGGAAATGTGAGCTTTAAATACCAATACCCAATTATGTTATTAACTTTTTAAGGTTATGTACAAAACAATTCCCACTTCACTATGTACAGTCAGAATAGAGGAAAAATTTGTAGTCCTTACATTTCCAGAATAAGTCTTCAGGATATCGATGAATAACTAGATATATATTTAACTTAATAAGCTCTATATTTCATATACTAAATCTACAAATAATAAGAGAAAACTATACCAGGAAGTGTTTATGTAGTTAAAAATTAAAGGATGATTCACATTTTTAAGGTTTGTTTTGTTTAATCTTTTAGAATTATATAAAGATCAAATCTTTTTATGGGCTATAATTTTTTAAGGTAAATGTATCCCCTCAAAGGAATCAGTTTTCTCCTGAAGTGGGAAAAAGTGAAGGGGAAAAAAAGATATTATTGAATGTACTATTGAGTTTTGAAGCAGAATATCCAGATTCAATCATGTAGATTTATGATTTTAAGTTTTTATTTACTTATAAAAAATTAAGGCTATTTCTTCCCAGTTATTCATTATCTTTGTAATATTTGACCTCGATCACAATGAGAAGAGAAACTATGTCTTTTAGCTCAGTATCTGGCATGTAAGATATATAATAAAAATGTGCTAAAAATCAAGATAGTTCAATCATGATTTAAAAATACATGTATGTGTATCTCGTGAGAAATTAAGAGCTATGCTAAATAGCATAACTGAATTGTTTCAATTCGGTGAATAGTTATATTTTTACTGTTTCTTACGAGCGTAAGAACACGCTGAGTTCAATTCCTCTTTTACAGTATTTCTACTCATTTCAAGTAGAGTTTCAAGTTATATGTTATACTTAATTTATTTTTGCTGACTATCTCATTTATTTCTCCTCAAAAACTCAGTCCCTGACCAGATCATCAAGCATTTCTTCATTTGTTGACCTTTTAGAAAAGACCCATCAAATAAAATTGTAAAAATCAAGTACCACTACTGACAAAAATGAAAGTGAAAACAAATATATACTTATTCTGTGTAGTAAACTGGTATTGAAAATAATCAAATGTATTTTATAATATATAACATCATGAATTATAAAATGAGTTAGCTGTAATAGGGGACCACATGGTAGCTATTATAACTTACCTGATCATAATGCTACACATAGTACTAGAGCAAATAGAAACTTTGCTCTTTTCGAAAAATCAAATCCTACTTTTCCATATGCCCTTGCATTCAAATTCTCTGCTTCATGATAAAATTAATAAATATGAATGAATGCTTTATTTTGTATATATCAATCAAGATTTAAAATTCTCCAGGAAATTAAAATATTGAGCCATCATAGAAACTTGGGTTTATAAAATGAATCAGAACATATAGTTGCTGTGATCAAACAACGTACTGTCTAAACTGAACAACTGTGTGGCTGAAAGAGAGCACTATTAATAACTCTACAAGACATGCTCTTGCACTTTTCCGACAACCCAGAATATACCATCATCTTACAAATAATATAATTTTTGTTTTCAAAATAAGTTCGAGATATTACTTACAGGTTGAAGTGTTTGCTTAAACAGTATAAATCAGAAACTACTGATTTATAGGAACCATCATTCTACTAAGTTCAAAACCAAAAGAAACTCAGGAATAACCTATTTCAACCTATAAACCAACACTTTATGTGAAAAAAATAAATTATACTGAAAATCTGCATCTTAGTATAAATACAGAAATTGGTGAACCTAACACAGGTTGAAATCAGTAAAATATTTCTAATTAGGTTAAAAGATCACTTATGAAAAAAGCTATTAGCATAGAGATTATATGTTTATTTGATTTAGTTAGAGTACCAAAAGAAATAATGTTATGAAAATAGTTCACAATTATAATTAATATCTGAAATATAAACAAAAGCTTAAGTGTTGAAAGGGTTATTTTATTGTTGCTTAAGGTTACATGTGCTGCTTTTATTTAAAGTGCACCTATTCCAGTAGTGATCTGAATAATATAAACCACCTTTCATTAAATTTACTTTTTCCCACCTATGTGTTAATTCAGGGATGCAAATGTGAATAAGACAAGTGTAAGGACTGAGGTTAATGATCAGAAGAAATTAGAATGGAGAGGGAAGATTTCTTTTACTTCAAGTTAATGTCATAAATGTTAAGGATTGCTAGACAAGCTAGAGAAAATAAAAAGTTTTATTTACTAAAGTTATAGTTATATACATTTTGTTTCAAAACTTTTAAGAAGTTTGAATACTGAATAATGATTTTTCTTTAGGTGCTGTATGGATTAAGGTTGAACAAGTAGCACAGAATAAAAAAGAAAAATCAATCTTTTTACATTTTAGGCTCTGTACCAAGGACAGTTGTTCCATAGTATTAACTATTATGTCAGTGCATTTGTTGCATTTCAGGCTAGAGACTATGGGTCTAATACATTGAATTTCTATGCTTTCTGATGTATTCTATATATATTTTGGAATTATCAAAGCATAGTTGAAGAATTTCTGCTTTTTCTTTTCATTTCACAAATACATTTTTCCTTAGCTGTTCATTAGCATATGTGGGATTTAATCACTTGATATGAATGAAATATTTTACTTTCAGTCAAATCAAAAGTAATAGGAAAAAGATGATTGCCATTCCTCCTAGATTCATTCACTGCATTTATTCTTCATAATGAGTCATAAAAATGTTACATTTAAGACAGCTGTTTTACAGTCTTAACTACATATGAAAAATTACTATTAATGTAGAAGAGATTCAAATACCCACCTTCTCATAATTAAGCATATATGTATGTGTATATTTACCATGTATATATGTATATTTTAGCATATATGTACAATTTTAATGAAAGTTCCATGAGGCAAATTTTTTCTTATATTGGAGAATCATGTTGTTGCCTTTGGTAATTTATAATGTATGATATTAAACTGTTGGACACTTAAAAATTCTAATGACTTAAGAAGAATGATTGTAAATATGTATGTTGCAAAAATAATTGAAAAAATCACTAGTAGTATTCTATTTATTCAGCATACTATCATTTAATAATAATCTGGTGAAAAATAATTTTGTATGATATATTAAAATGACAATTTAATCATTTGGATAGTCACATTCCTCTGCTTGCATAGCAAGAAGCGTAATACCCTTTATACTTTATGACAATGTAGCTCACAGAAGCTAAAGCGATAAATAAAGCTTATGAAGTGATCTAATCTATTTCTGCCACTGGAAGAAAGAACAGCCTTCAAATATCCCACATGATTGAGACTCTCCACTACAGTGAAAAACTTCTAGAAGCTGAGATCAGTAAGCGACTTGGGAGGTCATTCAAATGTTTCATGAGTCTCACGGTCAGGACACTTCTTTATGTATAAAGTCAACCTAGCACACAAGAGTTTAAGCCCGTTACCCCTTGTAGGAGTCTGAAACACCTGCTCTCTGTTCCCTGTGTGAAAGCCTATCATAAACTGAAAAAGCATTTAAAAGCAAGCCCCCATTAGAGATCTTTCCAGCTGAATAATCAGTTCTTTTAACTTTCCTCTGTCTCATTCTCAAACCATTTTTGAAGAGAATCTTCAAAAATGTCTCTAAAGAATTTTTTTTCTCTTTAACCCTGAAGTTCTGAAATAAGCATAGTTGCATTAACTATTAAAAGTTACTGCTTTGTTTCTTATCTTCCCACTTGAACACTTATATTTGCTTTTCTTTTTCAATATAGTTGCATATTGTTCATATTATGTTTCCCCCTCTCAAAAATTGCAAAAATATTTTAAATTAGATATGTATATAATTAAAACCATTACATGCTATTCTTTATTATGAATTATAAAGACCAAAAGCCTTCTGTTAGTACAATATAGATTGTCTTTCTAACTACAGGAGCTCAAAGGAATGTAATCTTGAGTTCTCATATTTATTTCATATTGTTCACACCACCCTCATGTTAAATTTATTTTTTTCCTTTCATCAAACAATACACCTCTTTATTCTACTTTGACAGAGTTAAGAGATTATAGAATATATCTAGAAAGAGTTCATTTGGAGAAGGTGATTTCCACCTATAAACCTGATTAATCTTTTAGAAAGGAAACTGAAATAAATGACTCAAAAAAGTCTTCAGAAAATTCATATAAGAAATATGTCATACAACCAGGTGTTTTATTTTTAGTTTAATCTATATAGGCATGCAACGCTTACAATATACTTTGTAGTTATTAAATATCTATTAAATTAAAAGATAAACCAAAGGGTATTTTAAGAGATAAGAAATCGGCAACTGTAGTTTTGTGGATTACAAATGTATATCAATAAATGAGTAAAATGAATCATTTCTAAAATAAGAGATAAACATTGACACTTTAGGTCTAGCAACTCTGACACCCCTAAATAGTCACCATCTTACCTAAGAATCTAGTTACCAATACATTTATTTTTTAGTTATGATGTAGACTGTATATCAATTTAAGATTAGAAAATAAAAATAAATTGGACATCATTTGCTTATTAAGAATGGTTTGTGCAAAGATGGAATTCATTTCATAAGTTGGAAGTTACCCTTGGGATGAAGCAGAGTTCATGCACTATGCAAAGTCCTGAATTTACTACCTGTGAAAATTTCAGAATTTAGTATTGCTTGAAACTTATTTTTAAGGCCTGTTTTGTTGTTAATTAAAAGATTTAATAGCCTTGAAAATACGGGCTTCTATTTGTCTACAAGCACAGTCCAAATGTATGAGAGAATACCATTACCTTCATAT